TTATTCCATGCTTATTTCTTTGGCACGAGATTATTATTATTTTTTGTTATAGATTTTAATTTTTCATTAAACACTATAAAATCAATAAACTTGGTGACGGCAACTAATTTTTATTGGATACATTAACTCTTTCAAAAGAAAAATAAATAATATACACATTGACTTTAGACAAATTTTGTTTAATTAAGCAATATGTTTCAAGTCTCAGACAAAAATAAATAAATAAAAGAAAATGTTTCAAATCTGAAAAATAGAAATAAGGAACATTCAGAGTAAAATTCTTCTTCTTTTTCCTCCATCAAAGTCAAATTCAAATCTCAAGGAAACCTCTAAAGCTTGGATCTTCCCTGTATTTAAATAACAAAAGAATCACTGAAACCTGAATGTTCATCTCAGTTAGAAGCGCACACAACAATTTCACAGACACCAGTTTCGGTGAGCTCTCTCTCTCTGGTTCAGCCTGTGCTTGATTCAGTTGTAAAATTCGTTCGCAAATCCCTATGATTCTCATTAAAGCTGCAAACTTTATAAATTCCACTGATGCGTTGCAACCTCGATGTGGAAATTGGTTGATCTCCCTGTGTAGTTGTTCATATTGCTCTGTATTTGTATCATGAAATTCATGATCACCATTACTTTTTTGCTCTAAATTTTCTCCTGGGCATGGTTTGTTCTATTCATTTATATCCGCGTAAGCTGGATTTGTACTATAATGAGCAATTATCCATTTCGGCCTGGCAGTCCTAAATCCTTCACAGCCTACCCAAGAGGTGACTTTGATTTAGAATCTGGAACCATTAGAAGAACCCGAAAGCATAGGCATTCAACATTGCAACCCATCAAAATGATTAGGTCCATTGGAAACCGCCTTCAGTATTATTGTAAGCTGCACCCACTTTTAGTTTTCACCATCTCCTTGTCAGTTGGGGTCACAATTCTCATACTTTTCTCTCTATATGAGAGCCGGTTTGAAATGATGGCTAGCTATAAAAAATTTGACATGGGTTCGAATAGTTATCCATTGCCAAATCTTCAGAATCTAGTCATGGTTGCTGGGCACTCAGTTTATACAAGCAGTAGCTGTGGAAAAGTTGATAAGGAGGATTCTTGGTTTTTGGAGTCTTATCAGAAGAATCCAGGTCAAGCTGCAACTTTCTTGGCGCATATACAAGAGGGAATTGAAGTCGCAGCCAAAGACGATAGAGCTTTGCTTCTGTTTAGTGGTGGAGAGACTCGAAGAGATGCTGGTCCTCGGAGCGAGGCACAGAGTTATTGGGCAGTTGCTGAATCAAAAGGATGGTTTGGTGAGTTACTGTATTTTTCTTGTATTAGACATGTTTTGGTATGCCTTGTGTAAAATATGATTCATTTTTACTTTAAGACTTAATGGACTGCCAATTGTATGAAGCATGATCTATAGGATGCTGTTTAAAATGGTTCTCATGTACTTGATTGTTTATGATCTTTTTTGTTTTCATTTTTGTTGTTATGGCCATTATGTGCAGTTTCAGTGAATGTACAATAAGGCAATAATTTCTTATCTGTGTTTTGGGTGGCCTGAAGCATGGCCTAAAGTTTTGCTAGAACCTGGATAAATTTTCAGCAAGGTATTAAGTTACAATGGAATTTTTGTTTGGAACTAATCTTCTTTTTGTATTCATGCATCTCGGGGTAAAGCATGCTGCATTTTGCAATGTTTTGTAGTCGAAATTTAACTTGAAGAAATTCATTTGTAGAACTCTAAGAGGAAAAATCAAGACAGAGATGTACTGCTTTAGTCCTCCTTCGATAGAAGAGGTTTATAGAAAAGAACAAAAAGAGATGTTTAGTCCTTGCTGGTGGCAATTTTTATTCAGTTTATTATAGAAGTGCCAAAGAAGAAAGGTTACGCAACCTAGTTTGTTACAATATACACCAAATTTAAATGTTGAATTCGTGAGTTTACTGCTGATTGATCTAAATACTATATTGACATGAATTTCCGGAAACATGATGATTCGTGACAAAGCTGTCATGTTGATTGCATAAATTATTTTCACTTAAGACCTTTAGCAAACTTGAATTTCCGGTCAAAAGGGTAAAGCTAATAACTACGCATGGAATTTCTCTTTGTTGACAAGGCTATTAACAAGATAAACCAAAATATACAAGTTGTGAAATGATAAATTCCTTGAAGTTTTTTTAGCATTGAATGCTTTATTGCCAACTTCTATAAAAGTTTAGGTTTCAAGATGAGCTCTGGAGTTTAAGTGATATCTTTACTAGTGGGAATTATCATCCCGGGAAGAGATATACAGTACATGCAAGTTGTGTACTGTTCGTATTAGATTTACCTGAGTCTTGCTTGGATTTCATTTGTCATATTGTTTTTGGATTTTGGATGAATACCTTAATGTTATATGAAAAAACTAAAAATAGCAGTATATATGTTTGAACTCTTGTGGATATCTGTAAATAATACACATTTGACAGTATGGTATGGAAATTTCCGTCAGACTGGAAATATCATGCATATTCTGGTTGCACAAGGATTAATAGCTATCAAATAGGTTATAAAGATAATAGTACTATTGTCATAAATTGTAGAAACAGAGTTACAGAGAACTGTCTAAATAGTATTTCTTGCTTCTTTAATGGAGAACTGTCAAAGGAAAAAGAACACAAGACTTTGCAACTATGAGTGCGAACACCACCCAAGCTTACCCTTACTATTACTGTTGTAGTTATTACCACACTCCTGGAAAATTGACTACTGCCACAGACAGCTCCGCCTTCACCTCCTCCACTGTGAACAACACTTTACACCACTTTAACCTTTCGCTCCTTCTATGTCTATCACTTCCACTGTTGCCTTCTGTCTAAATGTCAGTCAATTTCCACTCTGGTGCACCGTTGTTCTCTTCCACTCTTGAAGTTACTATAACAAAGAATGGTAAGTTTACGAGTTTTTCATCGATTTCATCATTCTTGGTCTAATGGCAGAAGTTTTCCTGTTTTCAGTTGCATAAAAATTATGGCTACAGGCAATACTCTGTGTTTTGGCAAATCATATACCATATTGGAGTGATCATGGGGAATTAAGTAATCTGATGTATGCAAAGGAATGGAATTTGACTTCGTTTAGTTTTATTATTAGTATTTTAGGGATCTGTGTTTCGTTTCTTATGTTATTCCCTTGTTCTCATACTATCGCTTCTTCTCTCTAAGATCCTCCCTCTTATTCTCTTTATTTATTTATTTTTATAATCTCTTTCTCTCTCTCTTTTATTCTGTTTCTTTCGCATTTTATCTTCTCTTGTTATTTTTGTGCGTGAACTACTTCCGGCGGTTTCCTTTTATATTAAGCGGATTTTATTTATGCTGCCACATAAATGTTCTATTCTTCATGTTATATGCTTCTTTACATTGTTTGTAATAGATGCTTTACAAGCAATTGTTCTAATATTTACTGTAATCTTTTATTCTTCCTTTTTTTAATAAAAAACTTCTCTCTCTTTAGTGACAAGTTTTTAGTTGCTTTTGCAAAGGTTAAGAAAACATGATTGTACAACCTTAGTTTAAATGCATGTTGGTCTGAAATATCTTTTATTGATTGTTAACTCGTACACAACTTATGCCATGGTGGCTTCTTTAGGCAAAGAAGATTTGAGATCGAGGACACTCACAGAAGAGCACGCAAGGGACAGTTTTGAGAATCTTCTCTTCAGCGTGTGCCGGTTCCGAGAACTTACTGGCGCATATCCTCATAATATAACTGTAAGCCTATTCTACCCTAAATTTGTTTGTCCTGTTTGAATAAAAAAATACAGGTATGATGGATGAAAATATTATAGACACACAATTGAGCAGTGAGCACCCATTAGCATAAAGAGCACCTATTAGGCTGAACACCCATATACATATATAGGTATACTTATGCATACGTATGTATGCGATTATCATGAATTTACAGTAAAATTTCGTTAATCTGCACATTCATGTTCAGATGTGATTATTTAGATGATTTATGCAAAGTTGTCCAGATGATCAAGATAAACTGGCTATGAGAATGTTTGCATATCCCATACAAGAGCGCAAGACATCTTAGAGTTCTACAAAACAAAGAGAATATTTGTATTTTAGGGATCTGTGTTTCGTTTCTTATGTTCAGATGCGATTATTCAGGATCTCCTGCTTTGATACCATAATGGAGTTTTTTGGTTTACCATTGTTCTAAAAACTTAAGCTGTTAGGATGTGAACCAACAATGTAATTTAAAATCTAACATGATTTGTTGTAAACCAGGTTGTTAGTTATGATTTCAAGGAGGAGAGATTTGCACATCTACATCGGTCTGCAATTGGCTTTCCAGAGTCGAGGTTCTTCTACGCTGGTACCCCAGCAATTTCTACCGCAAAAGAAGCAGCTCGAAAAGGAGAAGCAATTGTGCGTGCTCAATTCCAAGACGATCCATATGGCTGTCGAGGTTCACTTTACCATAAAAAACTAGGGCGTGATCCGTTTCACCGGTCTATTCCCTATCCAAATGGGTGTCCTGAAATTGAAGGTCTTTTCAGATATTGTGGGACAGATCCTTATCCAGGGTCCCTTCCCTGGCCTAAGAGTTAAATCAATCTGAATATACTACAGCCCTTGATCTATAAAACAGGAGGATCCACCTAATATTTACAATAATATCTTCTTTTTCTTTCTAAACAGTATCTCTAAATCAATATAAAGGTATATGAAAGATGAATATTTTTCAGTGGTCTAGTGAAATATATTTTTGGGCACTGTATGAAGTAATGATGGTAGATGGCTCTTTATAGCCTTGTAGTTACAAGGTATCTCAACAAGTCGAGGCAATGGTTGATATTCTCTACATTTTCAAGTTGATGTAACATCAATTTTAATCACCCTTTAAAGTTAACTTGTGGCAGATTTGCATGGCATCCACCATCCATGGACTTTTACTTGAAATATTCTATGCTCTATTGCAAGAAATGTATACTGATATCAAGTCCTTGAAAAATTAAAGAGCAGATGTCAAAACCCCATAGGGGTGGAGTATACATTGTATGCCAATCTGGGCATTGATTATTCATTGGTGCTTTGCTAGTGCCATATTATTACATTGTGGCGGTTAGCTTGTGAAGCTACCCTGTGTTCCTCAAGAATGGGCAAGCTAAAGCTGCCTCTTTACTGGAACTGTCAAAGCTTGCTCCCTTCAGAAGGCCTCCAAGAAGTTCTCCGCGGTCGAAAAAGAACTCAACCTTCACTATTTTCCCATGTTCATCCAACTGCAACAAAATCTGATGGATAAGTTCCATGAAAAAGTAGCTAGAGAAAAGAACCATAATATGTGAGGCAAGAAGATATGTTTACCTCAAAGTTTGCCATCCCAAAGAGTTCAACCTTTTCTCCAGTAGGGGCATGACCTTTGAAAGGACCATCCATGTAACCCCAGTGCCTGAACTTGTATACGATCAGTGGAGGACCAGAGTAAACATGGAGAATCTCTAGAGCAAACCCGCGCGGAAATGCGGTTGTGAAAGCCCTATGAGCTGAATCCACCGTTTCTTCTGCCGGGTTGTAGCACCGGAACTCATCTGGCAATGAGGTTTGCAGCAAAGAGTTGTAGCCTCCCCCAAGCTTTCGCTTCTCTTCCAAACTCACAGCTTTCCTTCCTGTAAGTTACAAGCACAATTTATGGAAACAGGACTTTGAACAGTGTAATGATGAGTCTTAATATATTTGGTGATACAATAGTTACCATTTAGGCTGAAAGTGTACTTCTTAGGATCACTTGCTTTAAAGTCTTCATCCCTTGTTTTATGGAACATCTCCATTTCCCATGTCTTTACAAGGTTTTGCACTTGTTCTTCTAGTGATCCCGGAGGCCATATCTTCCATCAAATTGAAAAAGAAAAATAAGATATCTTCAACATAAATATTATGATGAGAGAGAGAGAGAGAGAGAGACCTTGGTTCTGCCTTCTTCAAAGAGTTTGTTCACAGCACCATAGTTAGGAGGGGCACCATACCTCCATTTGGTGTTCTTTTCTCCTTCTCCATGCAAATAGCAACGATAACTGTCTCCCTTAACTCCTGAAGAGGCCATCTTAGCTTCTTAGAACCTAGAAATTTGAGTACTCTATGACTTACAAAGAGGTCCTTAAATATATAACCTAGGCGACAAAAAGAATAGCCTTGGTATCAAATTCAATGACACTATTACTGAGCATTTCACTACTACTAGTCTCTAGTATATGATGGCATATATATAAGCGGAAGGAGGAATTTATTATCAAATATTGCAGGATTAAAGAGTTCGTGTTTTTCACCAAATTATTATTATTATTTTTTAGTAGATAGCGAACTACACTAGGCTAGACCCCATTGATCTACACTGGATAACAGAACAACAAAAATAGTGACAAAATTGAAAGTGATTGATATTGTTGTTTTAGTCCGCTAGTTTATAGCGAACTAAATCAGCATATATGGTAGAGAGGTGTACATATCTTGACCAATTCAATGGAGAAGCCAGTCTCTGTCTGTAGTTGATGCTTCAAACTTTTATTTTTTTTAGAGTCCAACAACAATAACAAAGAAGAAAGATGATTCCAAGGTTTGAAAAGTTTTGTGCAAATTCTGGGGGAGTAACCAAAATGAATTTGTCATCCATGCGGTCCGTATTGGCGGCCGTCCTATCACTATTGTCATATTAGGATAATTTGACGCTGCCAAAACTACTCATCTAATGATACATACTCTCCTTGTGAGACTTTCACTTATACTAAAAAAAAAAACCTATGTATAAAATAATAAAAAGACGAGAAAAGTTGGTGTCAATTTTGACAGCAAAGTCTCAGTCTTTATTTTCACCCAGGAATAGGTTGTTCGGTTGAAAAAAATTTGTGATGTCATTTTTAAATGTTGGAGCTGTACATGTCTTTTTAACGTCTCGGCTAGAGATACTATTAATATAATCAATTAACCACAAAATAAATTAAATTTACACCTTGTTCTTTTAATTTGAAACATTTACCATCATATATACTGTAAAGTATTTTTTAGTTATATGTGTCAAATTTTCCAGGTTAACCGCAACCTGGCTCTAATACCATGTCAAATTTTCCAGGTTAACGGGCCGAGGGCCCACTCCAACAACACCGATACTGTCCCCACTTTACCACCTGCACAATCCTCAGGTGTGGGGTTTTATCACAAAAGGCCTCGGTATTAGTTGGAGTGGGGTAATTCTATTTAAAGTACTCTTTCTCCTTCCCTCTCTCCGATGTGGGACACAATTGGTTTCAACAATATGTACCCTTACACATACTTTAATCGTCAAAGAATTTCAAATTCATGTGTTTTATTTTACTTTATATTATAGTTAGCGACGTCCTTTCCTAAACCTTTTATATGACCTGATTAAGTTTACTTAAAAATATAATAATTAGATTTTACCTTGAGTAAAAATCTACCAAACTTTGGCTAATTTTATGTTTCAGGTCATTTTGCCATGGTGATGATAATTTTTGTTATAAGATTTGTAGTGTAGCATCGGGTAAGAGGATCTATGCTTTTAGTAATCAAGGCCTCCAAAATCTCATGTGCAGATGATGGGCTGATCGACCAGGTAAGAGGATCTATTCTGAGGGACGGACTCAGGATTTTAAAATGGGGTGGGCTAGATTTACCTTATTGAACTGTTAGATTTTAAGCTTATGGAATTGATATATATATAATGTAAGAATATATCATTTTTATTTTATTTGTTTAAAAGACCTATTTTACACCAATAGTGCCAACTAAGGTCTACCATGATGAACAAAAATGAATTGAAAGAAAAGAAAATTCATAAGAAAATTCAAAAATGAAAATTTATCATCACAAAGATAGAGTCAGATAGACACACGACAACTAAAGATAACACTACAATTATCCGATTAGTTCAAATTAATATTTCTGCTATAAATGCAATTAACATTTACACTAACTATAAGAAATAAAAAATAAAAAAAACTCACCTAGGCTACAGCCCAGGTTGTACAAGTCATAGGACCGTCAGGGTCTAGTGAAACACATCTCTCCTTGATACTACTATGCATTTCGATCAGTTGATTCTCTCTCTAGTTGCATGCGGATTACATCAATGTAATTAACTAAAACCTTATTAATTTGTCAGCAATTACCAATCTAACTAGTTTCCAAAGTTGAAGGTGGAGACGGATCAAATTTTTGGTTCATAAATTTCATGCTCCAATCAATTAATTATAACAATAAATCATCAAGACTCCCTAGTTCTAATTTCTTTAGAGTGGCAATCCTTTGGATTAGGTAACGAGAAAGGGTGGAGAAATGAGTTAGGATTAGAATAGATCATGGGTTGGAACCTTTCAATGTAAAATAAAAATTAAATTTTGTTTTTGCATTGTTTTGCACTTTAGTAGTTTTTGTTACAATCAAAAAGAAAAAAGAAAGTAGTTTTTGTATTTAAACCACGACACACTTGCTATAAAAAAATAAAAAAAAATTATTACACAACAAAAGTTGTTGGCCAAATCCTTCAAACTGACAATTATACTAATCAGTTGGGGTTGGAACGAGTAATTATAATGTACTGGTATTTTTCCAAAATTACCCCTATTTATGAGTTAATGTGTTTTTTTTTTGGGGGGGAGGGGGGGGAGAGGTAATTTGGGAAGATCTCCAAATGATTGTAATGGATGTAGGAATTAATTTAGAAACTTATTTGAAATTAAATATTAAATTCAACATTAACGTATTACTAATCTATTTTACGACTAGTAATCTATTTTTGAATTAATGTTATTTTCCTTTTATGAATTACAACCAGTAATCTATTTAACGTATTAGTAATTTAAATTCAATATTAAATTTAGGAATTAATGTTGTTTTCCTTTTATGAATTATACGACTAGTAATCTATTTTATTAATAGTGTACATTTTAATTATGTTGAAAATAATTTGATAATCTATTTATTTTTTGTTTTTTAAAAAACATTTTTTTAAATGAACCTATTTTTTCTCTCCAAATAATATACTTATTTTTTTCTCTAATAATGTACCTAGTAAAACAATTTACCTAATATAATGAACCTATTTTTTCGCTAAATTTTGTATCTATTTTTTTTCTCTCAATAATGTACCTTTTTTTTTCTCTAATACTGTATACCTAGTAAAACAATCTACCTAGTATAATGAACTTATTTTTTTCTTCTAAATAATGTACCTATTTTTAATTTATAAAAAATATGCAAAAATTTCAATTATACAAAGCACCCATTTTCTATAACTTATTGTGTACCTATTTTTAATTTATGAAAAATATACAGAAATTTCAATTACAAAGTAATTGACTTATTTTTTTAAATTTTTTTGGTAAATAATATACCTATATTTTTATACGTATATATTTATATTTATATTTTTCATGTGTACATTATTGGATATGTAATTACATATTATTTTTTCTTGGTTTGCAATTTTAGGGTTGATATGTTAGAGGGAATGACAACCAAAAGAAATGGGGTGATTGATATGCTATTAATAGGGAGTTTTAATTACAATTATGGCAATTAATGAAATGCTTGGAATAATTTATAAATAAAATAGAAAGTGTGATGGCAAGGATGTAAAAATATAGGAATACTATGACCTCTTATATCCTACTGGTCATTTAAGTTTGAAATTGAGTTTTACACAGATTTATAGAATGATGAGTATATGTCTAGTTAATAGAAATTATAGGGACCTATATTGGACAAGCCCTATGTTTATTTTATTCAAATTGCATATGCTACAAGGTTTTCCAGTACTAGCTAGCTAGCGATCTTAACCCATGTGCTTCATGTTTGCTTCTCTCACGAGAGCTCCAGATGCAGGTAGCTAGCTACCCTGTGCTCCTCAGGATAGGGCAACCTGTTGTCATCTCTCCAGCATAATTTTCAATTTTAGCACCCTTCACCAGCGCTCCAAGAAGTTCTCCAGGATCATAAAAGAACTCCACGCTTACAATTTTCATATGCTCATCCACCTGTTTAGACCAAATAAGTTATTAAGAGATAAGTAGAGAGACAATTTAACAATCATAAATTATAATCTATAGCTAGATATGTGTGAATAATGCAGGACATATATATTTATTTATATTAGATAAGTGACTAATGTTAATATCAGTGCAACACAAGGTACCAAAACACGTGAGTAATGATCTATATACACGCTGCACGCATCAGTCATCCACGCACTCGCCAATATGATAGATGGTTGGCATTGGTCAGGTACGTACCCCAAAAATTGCCATGCCATAAAATTCTATCAGTTCTCCGGTAGGGGCATGGCCTTTGAAAGGGCCCTCCATGTAAGCCCAATGCCGAAACTTGTAAACTATTTGTGGTGGCCCAGAGTAGACTTGGAGGATCTCCACAGCAAAGCCACGAGGGAAAGTAGTGGTGAAAGCTCGATGAGATGAATCTTCTGTTTCCTCAGATGGTTTGTAGATCTGGAATTCCTCTGGTAGAGACGACTGCAGCAATGGGTTATAGCCTCCACCCAGTTTCTTTATATCTTCCAAACCTAATCCTTTTCTCCCTGTAAATTTTATGTGTGATTCAAAATGTGAATTAATTAGTACTAATACAAATTTCGAAAGCTAGATTTTCTTTAATTATATTATCTTATTTAAGTACCGCTTTTTGCGAGATTTGAATTCATGATTTTCTCCGGCAAAATTTTCTTAGCTTGTGGTAATAATGAAAGAGTATACATATATGCGTACCATTTAGGCTGAGAGTGAACTTTTTTGGATCTATTGATTTGAAGTCGTCGACGCATGCCTTGTGGAAAAGCTCCATTTCATATGTCTTCAAAAGGTTCTGTACCATTTCTTCGAGTGACCCAGGTGGCCATATCTTCAATTAATTACAAAGTATATGATACTTTAATTAGAAAATATAATAAAATGCTACAGGAAGATATTAATGATCATAGAATTAAACACAAAATTCTTACTAAAAACGAACACACAATTAAAGAGAGAGAGAGAGAGAGAGAGAGAGAGAGAGAGAGATTGGTTCTGCCTTCTTCGAAGAGCTTGTTAACAACATCATAGTTGGGAGGGGCACCAAACCTCCATTTGGTGTTCTTTTCTCCCTCTCCATATAAATACGAACGATATTTATCTTTCTGATCAGCACTTGAAGCTGCCATTTGATCAACTCTTTTTTTTTT